GGGAGAGGGAGGCGTTTGAATTCCATAGTCAACGGCATCCACTGGGAGCGTCTCCTGACCAGCTTTTCGCCTTGTTTCGCCACAATGATCTCTTTTACACGGCAAACCGAAAGAGAGCTTGTCATGGTTAGATGCTGGCTATATAAGACCCGGGCTCCCTCTGACCACATCTATTGCCCAGAAGACATCACTCGTTCATCCACTCTTTCCCCTACCCTCTTTAACGGAGTTACTTAGTTCTATATCTGCCTGGACATCATTTACACCATAATTCCATCTCTCATTTATCGCAAGCCCATCATGCGTCGTGGTGCGATGATGGCGGGTTTGACCGCCACTGCTGCCCATGCAGCTTCTCTGGCTGATGTCTGTACCACTGCCAACGTCAAGGCTGCCCTGCCCACCTCTGTGTACGGACTCACCATGATTCCCTCCTCTGTAACCGCCTCCCCTGTCTACAACGCCTCTACCAGCGGCCAGGTTTTCTTCCCCGATGCCACCTACGATTACTGCGGCGTCACCTTCAACTACACCCACAATGGTCGCGGCGACACCGTGAAATTGCAGTACTGGCTCCCCGCCCCTGAGAGCTTCGAGAACCGCTTCCTGGCCACAGGTGGCATGGCGTACATGATCAGCGGCGGCTCTAGCTATCTTCCCGGTGGTGTCATGTATGGTGCTGTTGCCGGTACCACCGACGGCGGTTTCGGCGGCGAATTGGACACTGCTTTCCTCCTGGCAAATGGCACGATCAACTACGAGGCCCTCTACTCCATGGGATATCACGGTATCGGCGAGCTGACCATCGTCGGCAAGGAGTTCACTAAAAATTTCTATAGCATGGGAGACGAGAAGCTGTACACCTACTACCAGGGTTGCTCCGAGGGTGGTCGTGAAGGCTGGAGTCAGGTTCAGAAGTACCCTGGCGTCTATGACGGTGTCATCCCTGGTGCCCCTGCCATTCGCTACGGCCAGCAGCAGGCCAACCATCTTTACTCTAATGTTGTTGAGAAGACCTTCGGATACTACCCCCCTCCGTGTGAACTGGAGAAGATCGTCAATGCCACCATCGACGCTTGCGATTCTCTCGATGGCAAGGTCGACGGTGTTGTTGCCCGTACCGATCTCTGCCAGCTCCACTTCAACATCAACTCCACTATTGGCCTTCCCTACCATTGCGCTGCCAGCTCCAGTAGCGGAATTGGTCTTGGTTTTGGCAAGCGTGGCACTGACCCCGCCATCAACGGCACAGTCTCTGCCGAGGGTGTCGCAGTGGCTGCTGAAATCCTGAAGGGTTTGCATGACTCCAAGGGCCGCCGTGCTTACATCTCCTACCAGCCTACTGCCTCCTTTAGTGACGCTGAGACCTCTTACAACTCCGAGACGGGCGAGTACGAACTGAGCATTGCCTCTACCGGTGGTGAGTGGGTTGCCAAGTTCCTAGAGCTCCGCGATGCCGATAATTTGTCTACTCTTGACAACGTCACCTACGACACCCTTCGTGACTGGATGGAGTTGGGCTGGAAGCGCTACGAGGATGTTATGCAGACCACATGGCCCGATCTGACCGAGTTTGAGAAGGCGGGTGGTAAGATCATCACTTTCCACGGTGAATCTGATCAATCTATTCCTACCGGCTCTTCGGTCCACTTTTACAACTCCGTCCGCAATATCATGTATCCGGACATGTCCTACAACGCCAGTGTCGCGGCTATGGGTGACTGGTACCGCCTGTTCCTGGTCCCGGGTGCCTCTCACTGCGCAACCAATGATGTCCAGGCCAACGGCCCCTTCCCCCAGACCAACCTGGCTGTCATGATCAACTGGGTTGAGAAGGGTATCGTTCCTCACACCCTCAACGCCACCCACCTGGCGGGTGAGTGGGAGGGCCAGAACGCCCAGCTTTGCTCTTGGCCCCTTCGTCCTCTCTGGACCGAGAACGGCACCAAGTTCAACTGTGTTTATGACCAGGCCTCTCTTGACACTTGGAACTACACCTTCGACGCCTACAAGGTGCCCCTTTACTAAACAGCCAAACAAGGCTGCGCATCGCATTATTGAAGCATAATATATATTCATGTATATTACCTTACTGTCATTTTATTATGTGTATCCTTAGGATCTACAACGCTGGCCTCCCTGGGCCATTTGCGATAGCATCACATTTGTTGAGCGTAACACTTGCTACCACTAGCGTACTTCTATTTGCATCTGTGGATCATCATATGAAAGACGTAACACTGATCAGGAGACAAATTATATTTTCGGCCATAAAGAGCCTAGTGAAGCACATGGTTCATCTGAAGACTAATTGATGGTAGATTTATCATTGCCTAATTTTTGGCCATAGTCCCCTTCTTACCAACCTCGAGCCGTCATCACGAGGGGATGTACGTCTATTTGCTTTAAGTTTCATTTTCAGGATGCTATACTACACAGAGAGATTTCTATGGTGATCCATATACATTACTCGGACTCCAGCCCCTTTGTAACGAGTCCCCACCCCCATCCCCAAGGACTAGAATCTTGTATCCTGCAACATAAATTTCTACATCAAAGCCCCTACTCCGGCCGCAGCAGCTAACACCAAGACCAGTGCCTTGGAACCGAGCAAAGTATTAGCACCAGAAGTAGACGCTGCCGACGAAGCAGAACTACTTCGTGTAGCCGTGGAAGTGATGGTTGCCATATTCCCGGTGTTTGTAGCAGACTGCGAAAAAGGCCCCATTAGTTACATCTGAGTGTGTTACCAAACACTTGATAAATAACATACACTGTTGGAGGCAGCTGTTGCAGTGGCTGCAGCGCCAGTAGCGGAAGAGGCACTAGGAGTGGCACTGTCTCCGCAAGCCTCGGCTGCAGACTTTACGTCGTCGCCGTAGTACTGCCATATGTTGTATGTCAAAGCACACTTCAGGCAAGCACTGAGCTCGGACTTGTAGGTTGAATTGGAGCAGTAATCATCACTGTCTTGGTAGATAAGAATGACGCCACCTGTGACATTTCTCGGGTTAGCTGCATGAAGCGGTTGGACTACGAATGGTCATAGTAAAGGAGCAAAGTCATCATGAGGGTAATCGAGTCATTCCATGAAAGAACACATCAATCGGTGCTGCATCATACATACCGCAATTCGCGTGACACTCATACAAGGGACTGCCGGGTTCGATCGATTCCCTCCTCACTATAGGGAAAGTGCCAGGGAAGCTCCATGAAAAGCCGGGAGTGAGAAGAGCTACAACAGCAGCGAGAATGAAAAGAAGTGACTGCATCTCTAGATCTGCAGCCGTGTCTGATTCGGGTAACGTGATAGAGAGAAGAGATGCTTCGCGTCCAATGAGCTTGTGACGTGGAATAGGTGTGCTCAGTGGGATCAGCACGGTTATATGCTCCCATGAGTCCGTGTGCTGCACTGACTTCTATTCTGTAAGGCAGTAGATCGAGTCATAATTCGCTCCATTATTGCGCCGACGCCGGTAACCTTGAGAAAGTTGTCAGGCCACCGGACCATGTCCCGCCATATGCTTTTGGGACCCATGGTATTCCTTTTCACAATGTCTATAGACTAGTAGATTTTTCTCGTGTTCATGCGGGTTCCCGGGCTGGCGACTGCCTTGAGTGCAGTGCAGACGGAGTCTGCAGTACAATGAGGAGGAGCTAAGGGTGGCGCTCGCCTGGACTCTAATAGATTAATCCCGCAAGAGTACACTGAATTCTGGACCAGTCAGCTGTCTGAATAGTGCAGGGCTTCTAGTAGTATGTCGCGAGGTTACATCATAGGGTCTACAAGCAGGACAATCGAGGGTCCGATTTTCGGACGTTCATCTCCTTCGGTTCGGTATGCCAGTCAAGGTAGGGAATTTCTGGTGGAGCTGGTCAGTCCGGGTAAATTATTCGAGTACGCCCCTGGTCAAAGCTTGTCATTGGAAACGAGTGTGGACCCCGATGAAATACTTATCTGATCCGAAGGCAATGACCTTGAATTGAGCTAAACCACATGCTTTCAGTCATCCCGGTCCCAGGATACCCACTCAGGGAAGAAAATTTTGGAACGCCAAGGATCCGTCGTTAGCTGGCAGGGGTGCTCGGAGATATTTTACAGAGGGAGGAATTCGGTCCACTATTCCATGTGTCATGGCGAACAGGCCAACGGCTTGGCAAGAGAGAAAATGGCGTTCAGCAAATTCTGCGATCAGGATGCAGACAGGCATATTTGCGCGATTCGAGACCAGTGCTGGGGGCCCACCGTATCTTTTTCAGGGAGCGGACCCACGGCCCACTGTTCCCTTGTTATGTAATGCCCATCGTTGGCTCTGGGTGCCTGGTGGAATACGTACGATGTATTTGAACTGTTTTATCAAGAGAAAAATAGCAAGGAGTAACGGGCTCCTAGAGTTTTGCTCTTCCAACCTGGAGCAAGCTTACGGAGAATCGAATTGGGCTGCGGTGGAGCCCTTATCGATCTGATATGATCCGATGCCGGGAGCTGCCCTTTCCGACTGTCAATTCACGGGTGATTCAGATGCATCGTGACCGCAAAGGAGGGGAATTTGCGATTAGTGCAATTCCTTCCTTTCCAGAACCAGGCTAGTTCTTACTGATAGATAACCTTACTTACCGTTAGTGGATTGCCACCATTGGAAGCCCGACCCTGTCAAAACAGCTCGCCTAACGGCGGAACTTGGAACCGAATGCATGGTGACATGCTGCAGAAGAGAGTGGATGCCCATCACATGCCATTGGCGTTCCTGGACTTTTTCCATTGGAGATGGCTACCTCCATGACTCCGATCAGTAATGGATTGGTGCAATTGCATGGTGATCGAACCGGCGAAATAGCGAGCTTTCGGGCGTGATGTCTGTTATATAAGGGATGCAACGAACGGATCATCCTTCGAATTTCTCTTTTCAACCACGCCGATCCATCTTCAAACTCAAGAGAAAGCCATCAGTGCCTGGAAAACCCCTTTATTGGAACCTGCCTGTCTTCTCGGGAACAAAATGCCTTCCAAGAATATGTTCACTAGCTTGCTAGCAGCGGCGAGCCTGATGGCTTCCGGCGTGTATGCTGCTGAAGCCACCGATATGGGTGCTGCGGCATTCTTGTGGCCACCAGACAGAGCTTGGGGAGCCACCTGGGACACCACAGCCCCTTGCGGTTCATCGGCGGGGGTTACAAACCGAACCGAGTTTCCTCTCAGTAAGTTGTGAACTGTCTGGGTATGTTCACTTTACACATTGACTGATGTCTTTCTTCTTCCTTAGCAAATGGTGCAGTTTCTATAGTCCTTCAGGATGAATCATACTCCGTTAACCTCGCTATCTCCTTTGACAATGGTAAGTTTCCCGAGTTCGCCTAGTTTAAAACATCCTTAACATACAGTAGACCCCACCAAGAATGCCGATTTCACCACTGTTGTGGCTGGCAGCCGCTTTCCTGACGTCGAGCCTGGTCACGAATGTTATTCAGTGCCCAACCCACCATCCAACATCACTTCCGGCTCCAACGCTACTCTTCAGTTGAAATACATCTCCGACTTCGACAATGACGGTAACGAGACCTACTATGCATGTGCTGATATTACCTACGTACCGTATAGCTCATTCACCACCGACATCCCATGCTTCAATGTCTCAGAGGCCGACACGAGCAGCTCGTCTTCGTCGTCGTCCTCGTCCTCGTCAACCACATCGGCTAGCAGTTCCAGCAGCAGCAGCTCGGGAGGCTCGAACCGACTGTCTGGAGGCGACATTGCAGGAGTCGTGGTAGGAACAGTGGCTGGTGCTGCGCTGATAGGTGCAGCCGCATTTTTCCTCGGTCGGTACTGGCAGAAGAGGGTGCAGCGCGAACATGAAGTCGCTATGAACATGATGAACCCGGCTCAGAAGACGTGGTCGGCTTCGACGGCTGGTCGCCAACAGCAGCAGGCATAGAGCGCCAGCATTCTTATGATGAACGATAGGTGTTGTGTGTATAATAAGGAAGACTCCTTGGCCGTTGCGATAATGACCGACTAGAGGGGCTACGGACTATCTCATAGAGTACGAGAGACAATGAATGATACTTATACAATTAATTTTGCATACGAAGAGCAATTGATCTTTATATCAGCCTATTGAACAAGGTAGTGCGAGGGACGTGGAGCATTCGCCTGGAGCATCTGTCTTGAAACTACATAGGTGAGTTGAGTGAGGCAGCAACCCACAACACGTCGCCGGCAGTAGCCAAACCCTTTCGCAGCAACGCTTGTCTACAACTTTAGATCTGTCTAGTTACGACAGGTCGGGTAGCTGCAGCATGATCTACATGATCAGCGTAGACAATGATGTCAGTTGGTATTCATTAATTAAGTTACTATCACTCAACTGCAATTAAAAGCTTTAGTTCAGTACTCGGCGTTAAAATCAAGGGGCAGAAAATGTATAGAATCGTTCTTCCCAAGTACTACTAAGAAGGCGTGGCAGGAAATAGATGTCAGGACATGACCATATCTACCAGTGATACCTTCACTATTGCCCGATAATGCAGCCACATATCTGATTGTTGGTTGCCTTGGACCTATCTTATCAGCGTCTTATTTGCGTTGGTTGGAATTCACCAATGCACGGGACTCATGGGTCTGACATTGCGCCTACTAGGTAGAGATGCTGGTACCCGCCAAACACTCAATAAGAAAATCTTTCAATCTCATGGAATACAGGGTCTCAACCCAGCTAGCTGAAAGGAAACAAAGAAAGTTGGCGGATGGTGAGATCGCCAGCTGTCCAGTTCAGTAAGCCTAGCTGGAATGGGAAAGGTTTGGGGACATGTCAGCACTAACCACTTTCTTGCCTATCGCAAGGCTGGGTGACAAGCTTCTCGGATGACAATCGCCAGGGGTCCAGGTCTAGGTAACTGTGCCATATATAAATTACATCCAAAGCCAGTTTCTCCCTCTTTCATAGTCCATCGTTCACTTCTCGCCTCCTGCCAGAGTATCCCATTCCGTTCCCTAATGGCAACCCTTGTCTTCATCCCCGGCGCATGGATCACCCGCGAGCTGTACCAGCCCTTCCTCGATGCCTGTTATGATGCTGGGTATCCCGTTCATTATGCAGGTTATCCATCCATTGATCCGGCTGATCCTACCGTCGCAGACTGCAAGACCGACACGGACGTGATCAGGGATACACTGCACAAGTTGGTCGAAGAGGAGGGCAAAGAAATCTTCCTGATGATGCATTCATATGCCGGAATGCCCGGTGCAGCTGCCGCGCTCGGGTTGGCAAAGTCACAGCGAGTACAACAGGGCAAGCGTGGCGGCGTGATTGGAATGGTGTTCATCGCGGCCTTCTTGGTGCCGGAGGGAGTCAGCTGTGCAGGACTGCAAGGCGGCAATCTTCCCCCGTGGATTCTGCTGGACAAGGTGAGTTCTTCACAAGGCTGACTTATCAGGAAAGACACAACGGCTAACGTTAATACAGCCCACCGCCAACCTTAACGTTCCCGCTGACGCCGTCGCCAACTTTGCATCAGATGTTGATCCGGCGCTACTCAAGGATCTCAATGAGAAGGTCAAACCTCATGCAACACTAGCTTTCACCTCTCCCCAGCCGGCTCCTGCATGGGCAGAGGAAGCATTCCAAGGACGCTTGGCTTTTATTGTCACCACGCGCGATCCTGCCGTTCCGAAAGAAGCACAGTATGGCATGATGGCTGCGACTCAGCAACAGTGGATTGTTAAGGAAATTGATAGCAGTCATTGTGCTCCGTTCATTGATCGGATTGAGGACACCGTGCGGTTGATGGACGAGTGTGTGAAGGAGTTCCAAAGTTGAAGTGCACGTTAAGATCTTATTCTGTCACGATTGTAACTCTCTAGTGATGATCGGTGTAGAACGGTACAAAATAACAAAAAACACAAATAACCGGGAATGAAACCAACCAACACGCCGACTGATGTTGCCCGAACTCTAGAGTCAATATGAAGTATAATCAAATCTACGCCTTCAACAATCCCCGTACAGTTTCCTCCACCTGCTGCAGCATCTGTGCCTTATCCTGACTCGCGTCTACCGTAAGCACATCGCCCTCCGACAGCGTTGGCTGCTCTAAAATATCCAGCTGGGAATCCACCATTGTTGAGCGCATATAATGATCTTCCTTAGCCAGCCGTGCAACCATACGCTCCTTCAATGTCCCCCGGTCGTCAACAGACAGGAGCAGAAAGGTGACGGTAACAGGGAAGTCCAACAGCTGAGACAGCCGTCGCAGCTCATCACGGTAGACAGTACGCAGTGCGGAGCAGGTAACAGCAACAGCCGGCGCAGTGGTTTGCTGCAGTCGATCCATCACTGCCCCTCGGATATGCGCCAACCAGTCCCACCGGTCGCGATCCTCCAGTGGAATCCCATTAGCCATCTTCAGCCGCGCGGCCGGCGAATGCAGGTTGTCGCCTTCGATCACCGGGATCTCAAATCGCTGTGCCAGTGCTTGCGCAGCGGTGCTTTTGCCGCAACCGCATGGTCCGGTAAGGAAGATGACTTCTCGTGCTGGTGCTGCGGTGGTGGTTGCGCCCGTAGACGTGGACCAGCAGTGAGTGCGGAAGTATTGGACGAACCGGCTGACCAACTCGGGGGTGAGTCCGCCAGCCTCGCGTAGAGCAGGCGCAGCAGCTACGGCCTGCTTGGTATCGTACAGCAGCACACGACTAGGCTTGTCATGGTCGTACTTGCTGGTGAAAAATTCGAGCAGCTTGATGGGCGGGTTGACATTGGGATCCTGGTTAGACTCGCGCAACCGCTGCAGCCATTCACGTCGAGGGAGCTCCTCAAACTCTAGCCCAGCTTGTCGGAGTAAAGGAAGCAAGTCTCTTGTCCAGTGGCTCAACAGTGGGTTGGTCAGATTGACCACTTCGCCTGCCCTGGATGCCATGGTCAGGTCGATCACACTGGTCGCCACGACATCCACAGGCGTCCAGGAGAGGAGATCATCGAGCTGCGGCAGGGCGTGGATGGTTTCAGCTGTCTGGAACATCATAGGAATGGCCTCGGTAGCGTTCCAGATCCCATGGGCGCTGTCAGCGATAATCTGGCCCACACGCAACACCCGAGCGGTGATTCCTGCTTGATGAGCGGCGCGGTTCACAATGTGCTCTGTCACCAGCTTGGACTGCGCGTATCCCATCCCCTGGGCACAGGCTAGACTGTCTGGCAGCGCTTCCGGTACCCAATTGCCTGGCGTCCGAGCGACGGTACTTACCGACGAGCAGAAGGCAAACCGTGCTGGTTGAGGTCCATGAACGTTCAAGCAGAGGTCGAGAAGATGGCGGGTACCAGCGATGCAGCTTGACTCGAAGCTCTCCAGCGCCCAGTTGAAGTTGACTGACCAGGCGCAATGCATCACTGCTGTAACGGACCGCACCAATCTGTTATACACGCTTTCGTCCAAGCCTACCCGTACTGGATTGCCGAGGTCAGCGGGTAGAGAGATAATCTTGTGCTCGGTAGCTGGTGACAGAACAGACGACAGACCGCGAGCACGCAGTGATTGACGAACACGACGGAAAGCTGCTTCGCGGGACTCTGCCCGGACCAGGCAGTAGATGGTCTTGACATGATCCATCTGGGCCAACTGGGCAACAATATGGGCACCCAGAGATCCAGTAGCACCTGTCACGACGACATGCTCACCAGACCCTTCGCGAGGCACTGCAATATGACGCTTGAATTGGTTGCCATACTTTTCAATGAGATCCGCCATCCGTTCTTCGACTGGTCGCTGCTTTTTCGGGGCCTGTCCCAGTCGCAGACGTGTTAACTCGTCCGCCATGGCCTGCACCGATGGGTGCTCGAAAACAAAATTCTGGGAGAGTTTGTGACCCCCAATGTCTAGAGTCCGGAGAAGTGTTGTACGCAAACGGATCGACTGCAGACTATCCACGCCCAGACTGAAGATGTCGGTTGTCGCACCCAAGGTAGAGGGATCAATACCTGGTGCGACCTCTAGTAGCTGCTCACGGAGGAATGCTTCCAGCTCGCCCCCCTCAAGCACTTGGTCACCGCTGGCATCCTCGGCGTCGTAGATCTGGTCAATTTGTTCCTGAAAATCGCGATAAAAGGTGGCGCGAATGACAGTGCCCTTGTCCGTTTTGCGATAGGGCGCATCCGCGGGCAGCACATGGATCATATCGCGGGAGAGGTAGGCATAAGCCGGCAATTCCGCATTGCAGCGTTCGATGGCTGGGAAGACCGCCTCAATTAGCTGGTCATCTGTCTGACACTTGCTACTTGTTGCTGGAATAAGAAACAATCCGAGACGCGGCTTGTTGGCCCCAAAGGCGATCGCTTCGGCAACGTTGGGGTCGTTACGCGCCACGCCCTCGATGATGAGTGGATTTGCCTTCTCACCGTTCTCCAGAACCAGGGTGTCATCCAAGCGGGCATAGTAGCGCCACGCGTTGGGCTTAGTTGGGTGCTTCTCGAAGAGATCCTTCGTTGCATATGAGTTGTCGGGCCGGTTGCTGGCGACCTTGGAGGGCCAGCCTTCCAGGACGCACAGCTCATAAATGCCCGACATTTGTTCCTCCCAGCGGAGGTAGGGCAACAGAGATGGACCCGGGCGAACGTAGTCCCAGTCCAGATCATCCCTCTCGCGGAAAGAAGTCATCAGTTGACCGGTCTCGGTGGTCCCGTAGTGGGAGACCAGACGCACTCCGTTTTGCACCAGCTTATCTCCAATGGGCTTCGGGCAAGACGAGCCTCCAAACATAACCAGCTCCAAACGGGCCATCATGTGCAGACCCTCGTCGGATTCCGACAATAGCTTCAGTGCATAAGGTACTGCATACAGGATCTCGATTTCTTGGTGGTCCTTGAGAGTTGCCAGCAGATGCGGGGCTGTCAGCGGCAGATTCGCATTGTAGAGGTAGATCAATTTCTGCGAGTGCATGGCT